GGGGCAGGAATCTGCAACAGGACAAACACAGATTACACTCAGTGGCACACACATGCAAACACACACACACACACACACGCAGTACTGCAGTATATTAGCTGGGCGACCGCAGTAACCTGCCGTGAGTGGGGCTACGCTCTCTTATCTCAGCTGGTGCGCGGATTCAGCAAATCCTCAAGCAGCCTCTGTCTCACTTCCTTTCTCTCGCACACACACACGCTTGTCCGCGCGTACACACACACACACACACACACTCCAGCTTATCCCTCACGCTGTTTCAATTTACTCAAGCACCACCTGAGCCCGGCTACCACGGCAACCCAGGAATCGTAGAAAATCCCCCCCAACATCACCTCACTTATTCCGAACAGGCCGTGAAAACAATCCTGAAAACGGAGCATTAGGGGTTTACAGAATGGGGGGGGGGGGGGGAAGCAGAGCCATCTCTATGCAGGGATGGAGAGCCGTGTGACTAATGTAATGACAGCCAGGTAGAATAAAGCCAGGGAGCGTCTGATGACGCACTGACAGTTACACTCCAGTTAGACTCCTCATAGCAGCTGGAGGAGGCAAAGCAGCTCCAGACTTCAAATGGATTAGAAAGACGATCCAGAACGGACGCCTTTTTTTATATTATTTTATTATTCTCTGGGAGAATTTGCAGTGAAGGCCCTGTGCCGCTCATGCGTGCAGGCATGTGTTTGTTTGATCCTTTGTTAAATCTAACACTCTGCACCCCACAGTCATAAATTCGCACTTCACTTTTTACAGCTCTTGCCAAAACTTGCTGTCTAACTTTTCAAAGGCAGAATATTATCGAGCGAGCAAATGAGCGAGGATGAGAGGGGAGCGAATGAATAAATGATGAGCGTAAATAAATCATGGAATGTGATATTATATCAGCTGTTTCTACACAATGAGACTGATACAACTACAATAATTAAAAAAAAAGACAGACTGAGAGAGAGAGAGAGAGAGAATGAGATACAGAGGCGGAGAGAAAGCAAGAGGGAGGGGGAAGATGCAGAGACAGAGAGGGAAACAAATGCTGTAGAGCTGTGACGAATACATGGAAAGGTTGCAGTTGAAGGATGATGTTCTATACTTTAAAACCAACAGCAACATGACAAGTATTGCCTGTTTGGCCAAACCGCAGCTTATGTGCCATATACCGGACATTGTTATTCCACTCTACAGATTTTCAATGTGTGAAGTTGCTGTCAATTGCACTTCTCGCAAATGTTTCAAATTAACATCTACAGGGGACGTATCCTTTGAGTTGCTAAAGGTCTTTTAATGTGACGCGTCTGTGCAGGAAGTGTTGGGGTTTTATTTGACAGCAGCTTAACAGCGTCTGAGAATCAGCAGAATGGAATAGACAGGAAGTAGTTGGCGAATGAAAACGTGAAGCCGATTTCTGTCGAAGAGGAGAAAACTCAGAGAAGCAGAGTGGTGACTGTGCGAGACTCTGTTGCTGTTCTAATTTAACTGGTGATGTGGAAATGTAGATTATACTTCATTTTGTATTTACTAACAGCAAACAGCATCAACGGAACACAACAGAAAGCATTTAGAGGTCTCACTGAAATATGATTAAACACAGGGGGAGACAAGGAATAAAGTTTAGCATTTCTTTAAGTAAAGATTCTCTCTGCAGTTGAGTTAAGGAAAGGTGAGAATCGACGGTACAAAGGTCTGTTGCTGTAAATATTCGCTAATGGACCAAAGGCGTATTAACGGCTGAAAATAGTTCTTTGAAAATGCACCGTTTTAATCCTTTGTGACCTCTTTTTATAAAAGAGAAACTATACACTTGTTTTAGAAGAAGTGACAGTAGAAGTAAATGGGCTTCGAGCTGAGAGCCACAGATAGGGTATAGGGTGGTCCGAAAGTATTGAAGGACATAACTAACAAACTTTTTGTTAGTTCATCAAACATCTCTTACCTTTGGCACAGTCGGGACCCAAGAAGCCAGCAAAGCAGTGGCAGTGTCCGGCCACGCACTCTCCGTTTCCATTACAGTCTGTGGAGCAGCCGTCCATTGAGTCTGCACAACCAAACATTCACAAATCAGACATAAAAGGCAGAGAGAGAAAGAGAGAGAAAAGAAAAAACAACTTGAAAATGTTCCACATGTAGCTCCATAAGCTGGCACATCTCTCTGTTATTGAATGAGAGATCTGATAAGCAATGGATGGCTCCCCAGACTCGGGGGCTATATTAGATTAGTCTGATCCAGCTGCTATCACTCTCTGGGGAACGGCCAAGCACTCACTTACACTCAGTAGCACTAAGCACATTATACTGCATTACAGGTCGCAAACACACAGCGCACGCAAATTTACAAACATCAAGGCTTAATCAACAAACTGTTTACACGGACGCAGTTTGGAACGAGATTGAGAAACATAAAAATCTGACGGCGCGAGTGCACGAGTTAGTGGAGAAGGGCTAAAGCTGCGTCGCTACAGTAGCTATACACTCCCGGGGCATGGCGGGGATCAATGGGATGCTTGTTCATGCTAGTACACTGTCTCATCTGGATACATTTCATCATATCCTTCTGTGGGGTAGTGAGCATTTCATCACACTCCTCCGCCGGACTTCAATTGGCCGCCTTCCCTTTTACCTCTCTCCTTTCCTCCCATTGATATGTCCATCAAGTCACATCTCATTCTCCGTGTACAGACAGCATGGCAGAGATAGATAAAAAAAAAGAAAAGAAAAGAAAAGGGGTGAGCACTTTTAAGCCTTTTATGTCAGCTCTAGATGGAAGATTCTGCTGGAGGAGAGGCTGGCAGAGTTGGGAATTTTTTGAACCGAGCTGCCGGTTGTCTTGTGCCAGGCGAGCTCTATCTAAGCGAGATAGAGTAATTAAAGCGGGGTGTTGAGGATGTCATCCTTTATTTGACCCTGTGCCATCCCGCTCGGCTCCTCCTCGACTCCAGAGTCAAAACCACTGCAGTCCCCTGGCTCGCTCTGTTCAGGGAGCATGGATGACAAGTCCTTCTAAGGCACGGCTCGCTCTCTCGCTCTCTCTCTCCCTTGCGCGCGCGCACACATTGACAAACACATGCACGCAAAGTTATTATGTGACACCCGCCTTGAGGCGCGTGTGACACATGCTAATGAGACGGGCCCTGCCAGCAACCGGCAGCACGGCGTTATCCTCCACAGCGGCGCATCGCTACAGAAACCAAAGTCATTTTCACCTCCATCACCCGTCATCGTCACTCTAATGGAGAGGAGTGGCAATCATCTTTTCTCCCACACTGTCAGGAAGACTCACAAACCTTTCCCCTCCGAATGTGTCTCTTTCTCTCTTAAAAAAAGAAGAAGATCCGTACACACAAATTCCAATATTGTATCTGGCACCCGACACATGCGACGGACAAAAAACCCGTCCGCAAGGTCACTGGGTTCTTTTTAATCCAGAGGAGATGATTGATCCAGAGGAGCTCTCAGGGCTGTGAGGGGCAGGGCTGTAACCGTGATATGAGCTCCGCGACTTTCAGGTCAACGTCTCCACTGTAAAAATCTCCCGGCAATTAACAGGTAATGTACGGTGAGACATGTCTTTATTTGTTACATAACAATGTCTGCTCAGCTAACTGGAAGCATCCAGCCATGATCTTTTTTGTTAAAAGTTCCATAAATGTACAGTATATATATATATATTGTGTGTCTATGTGAGCATGTGAGACACCCGCTCAGTTCTTTCCACTGACAAAACCTTTTCCAGTTAGGAATCAGTCATGCCATAAGTTATTGCAGTTAAATGCTATTATGAAATGGGTGCTTCCAGCCAAGTGATCTGATTGGTCAAATAAGCATTGCAATTGTACTTTATGAGCCTGTAAAGTTTCAGCCGTGCTTTACGACCCTTGGGCTTTATGAATTTATGAAAAAAATGAAATGGCTGCTCAGCTAACTAGAAGCATCCTGCCGTGAGCTAGACACTTCTTTTTTTTTTTGTTTATCATCTTTGTTTGTTAACAGTTCCAGGCATCTACGGCAAACTTTTTTTTCTTACACTTTTTGCTGGCCGTTGCGCAAAATATATAATATTCAAGAGGATGTGTGATGATAGCTGAAGTGTAGCAATTATGCATAATTAATAGCCCTGCAGGAAGCACCACTCTCTGCCTGGGTAGAGGCTGAGTAGAATTAAAGAAGATGGGGCTGGAGTGGAGGTGGCGAAATGGCAGATATCATTAAGCCGGAGCGCTTGTGCGTCACATGTAAATGTCAATAATAGAGGAGGAGGAGGCAAAAAAAATAGGTTTTCTCTGCATCTGCTGCTGGTTTCTTTCTGTACAAAATGGAAAATTTTGGAAAAATCCTATTTTAATTTACATAATGATGTCTATTTTCTCCCCAACATTTACATGTGACAGATTTAAACAGTCACAATCAATGAGAAGTGACTGTAGCGCACATATCAGCATATATTACCGCATATGTTTGTATGTATGTATGTAAGTAAGTAGGTACGTACGTATAAGTATATATCAGCATTTGTGACGAAAACTTTCCATCCTACTTAGAAGAGGCACAGAGTTGAGATGTAACTGGATGCTGTGTGTGTATGTGTGTGTGTGTGTGTGTGTGTGTGTGTGTGTGTGAGGTGGTCAGTCAACAGATGACAGAACAATATGTCTTCTGACTGATACAGGTCAACTCACCAAACACATGCAGCTTTAATTGTTCTACCGCAACTTTCTTCTTTTTTACCTTTATGGAGATGATTATTAGTATGATAGTGATCATGTATGACAGTGTTTTCTGTCACACGCAATATGCCGCATTACATGTTTGAGCACCACCACGTAGCTCGTCCCCCTTGTTTCTATGATAACGAGCAGATTCTTGCGCATCAGCGTCATCTGATATATTGTTTTCATATTCTCATATATTCCCTCTTGTCCCACTCATACGCTCTATTGATTATATGTTATTTTATTTATTTATTTCCACGACAGTCTTTTGCTGTCCTCTTATTCATACTCCGTGTTTTCTTCGTTGTATCCGGTTACTATTTGCTGCGGAAAAGCTCAATTTCCCGACAGAGATCATCTAATTTCTCCCTCGTCTCCCCATGAAGCTCCACTCTGGGCGACAGCACACCGTGTCTTTTATTAGGATTTATTGTACTGTAGCTCAGTGGTTTTGATTTTCTGCCTCTAAAAAACAGCGCAGGGTCTGTTTGTAGCCCTCGTTAGGGCTGTAAATGGGCAGCGGAATGCACTCTGACATCAATCCATTAATATTATTTTCCTCTTTCCAGCCAAATCTCTTGATTAATTATTTGGACAACCTCGGTGGATGAAAAGGCTGCTATTCTGAGCCCATCTGTTGTGTCTGTATTTGTTTTGATCAGCGAAGAGGAAAAAGGATAGTTTGCTATTTATTTAGTTGTTGCCGTTTCCTGTTTAATCCGAAAACACGGGACCCGAAATAGGGCCGGTATATTCCAGTCTTTATAGACGGCACACGTGTCAACAAACGTTTGACAGCTCTGAAATAAAAATATGTGTTTAGCTGTCGCATGCTGTCAGTCATTACAGAAAAGACTGACAGCATGTTTTGGCACTGTTTACTGATTGGCTTACAACGTGGGCTGTTTAGAGGCCGGCGATGCACATGTTTAGATTGTGAGCATCCAGAGAGCTCGGTGCAGTGTTCCACATCATTTACTCAATAACACAAAAACTAATTCAATCCCAGTTTAAGATCAACACGACAAAACAAAAAAAAGAAGCCAAAATGCAGTGCTTCTCATAATGTATTTTCATCACAAGTTATTAGCTCTGTAATTACCACATCACCTGTCTGCTATACGCTACCAAGTCTCCACCCACGGTGTGACTTCTACATCTCCCAACACTGTTTTCTCCTAAAGGACTACTGGACACAGTGGGAGTGAAGAAACTGCCCTGGTAATGATCCACTACCGCATGTATTTTACTGCATTATTCACATCCTTCAAATTACACTACTATCCGTGTGTGTCATAGCAATGAGCTGCGGTTAGCGAGCCCTGTCATTACCACAGGAGCTGTCCTCCCCTTTCTAACGGCTGTCTCTTGCCATGCCAAGCACCCTCTTATAATAGGAAAAGTTCCCTTCAAATGTCAACGACTGCTACTCTCGGGCCGTGCGCTTGTGTCGGAGAAAATCAACAGATGAAAGGGGGAGAGAGGACGAGAGCGAAGCAACCCTGACAAACAAACAGTGAAGCTTACAAATAATACAGTTCCATAACTAACTCAGGTCAAGTCTTCACAACTCTTTTATTTTAATAAAATACCTGGTAAAAGAGCTCAGTACTCAGAAGGAAGACATAAATATGAACATGGTACTGATTATCATCATTAGGAGCCTTATGTGCTCAGCTGAGATCTGGTATTTTACCACTTATGGTTGAAACTGAACGGCGTGTCAGGTTGGAGGAAGGAAAGCGGATTTTTTCAATGTGATGTTTGACTAATAAAGAGAATTTGTTTCATTTTGGTTTCCATTGCCCTTTTTTACTAGGAACTGTGCAATACTTTGTCTTAGTGAGATAAAAACAGATATTGATTTTTGCAAATATGGATGATGCACTAAGAGTTGAATATTCATACATTAGCCTGGGAGATGAGGGAAAAAAGTTGCATCGTAGCAGCTATTTTCAGTGTACATCTCATTTTAAACTTGTTTCGAATAAGTTATTTGAAATAACATAGTAGTACTTTACAATGTGGTATTTTATCTCTTTACTTTAGCTCTGATATGTATAACCTGAAGATGGTAGTGTCCCATGAGGGATGGGCCAGATGTTTGGTACGACACAGAAAACCAACTAACTAAAAGAACACATATTCATGCCGACACTACATGTGGAAGAAAGGCAACCAGTTTCCTGTAACAATCCTCCTCACCAATGGGAGTGCTGTGCAGCAACACTTGCTCCAGGTTGCGTCCGTCGTTGTAGAGCGCGAGGTGCCAGGTGCCGGGGTCCATGTATTCGATGAAGCCCGTTTCCTGGAGGCCGCTCAGCAGCAGGCCTTTGGGAGCTTTGGCGGTGGAGACGGGATCGGTCAAGGACCTGGGCAGCGCCTTCCCGTCCAGCAGCTTCACAAAGTCGAACTGGACACAGCACAAGAGGGGGGGGGGGGGGGGACACACACAATCAGACAACAGCAACGCCATCCAATTAGAAGGCGCGAGACGGGGATTTTGTCAAACCTGCATAAATGCAACGCGAAAATTTGTGAGCCAGTCTCTTGTGCGGTGGTGCGTGAGCTTCGTGAAGCTGCCAATTGAATTGCTATTGGAAAACTGCCTGCACACAAACAGCTGGGGAGTAGCATTAGATGTGGGTATCGGATGCCAATTGCGCAAAACGAAACCAAGAACAAAATCATCATCCATGGCAGGTCAGTCCTCCGCCAGACATGTTCCACGGCAACAACTTGACGTGCCGCTAATAGAACAGGCAGACTTTACCACCCGGGTTTTCAAACGGAACAGACTATTATTTCGTTTGTCTAAACCTCTCTGTGCTTCTTCCTTGCTCTCTTTAACTTTCCCCCGCCACCCTCGTCTCCCCCTCCCCCTCGTCTTCGTTCTGAAACCTCCTTGAACTAGCAAGCTCTCGCTGAGCCTCATTCCCCCTGAGGGCTGTGTGTCACACTAGTGTCAAAAACAGCTAATTAGACCTCTTCACGCAGGCGAGAGCCGGGGCACACTGATGTTAAAACGCAGATGACTCAGTGTGTGTTGTATACGTGCAACAGCGCTGTTCTACAAGGTGTACAACGCTTGCGTGTATTGTTTCTGGGAACGTGTCATTTTATCTACACTGAGTTGACGAAATCAGAAATGACTGTTTCTTTGCGAGAACCACATGCGTCCACACTTGTTGTGGGGGAAATGGCAAAATCTTCTTCTTCTTTTTCTTTTAGTTGACAAGCACCAACATTTTGCATCACAGTCAACATCGGGGACGAGAACGGCACGCAAAGCCGGATGACTGCTAAGCTCTGTTTTCCGTCATCTCTTACGCTGTGCTTTAATACAGTCAAACTCACGATTAAATCATTCTCCTTTACATACAGTTGTGTGAAAAAGTGTTTGCCCCCTTCCTGATTTCTTATTTTTTTGCATGTTTGTCACACTTAAATGTTTCAGATCATCAAACTAATTTAAATATTAGACAAAGATAACACAAGTAAACACAAAATGCAGTTTTTAAATGAAGGTTTTTATTATTAAGAGGGAAAAAAAATCCAAACCTACATGGCCCTGTGTGATAGGACATACACCTTCCAAAAAGTTCAACTTTTGTCTCGTCAGTCCACAGAGTATTTTCCCAAAAGTCTTGGGGATCATCAAGATGTTTTCTGGCAAAACTGAGACGAGCCTTTATGTTCTTTTTGCTCAGCAGTGGTTTTCGTCTTGGAACTCTGCCATGCAGGCCATTTTTGCCCAGTCTCTTTCTTATGGTGGAGTCATGAACACTGACCTTAATTGAGGCAAGTGAGGCCTGCAGTTCTTTGGATCTTGTTCTGGGGTCTTTTGTGACCTCTTGGATGAGTCGTCGCTGCGCTCTTGGGGTAATTTTGGTCGGCCGGCCACTCCTGGGAAGGTTCACCACTGTTCCATGTTTTCGCCATTTGTGGATAATGGCTCTCACTGTGGTTCGCTGGAGTCCCAAAGCTTTAGAAATGGCTTTGTAACCTTTTCTAGACTGATAGATCTCAATTACTTTGTTTCTCATTTGTTCCTGAATTTCTTTGGATCGCAGCATGATGTCTAGCTTTTGAGGATCTTTTGGTCTACCTCACTTTGTCAGGCAGGTCCTATTTAAGTGATTGCCCCCCCCCCCTGTTAAAACATAAATTAACTGTGGTTTATCACATCTTTGGAAAGCTGAGTTCAATTTCTCTAGCCACACCCAGGCCTGATTACTGCCACACCTGTTCTCAATCAAGAAGTCATTTAAAAAAATAAGAAATCAGGAAGGGGGCAAACACTATTTCACACAACTGTATATAAAATAGGGATTTGCAAAGGGCTCATAAATGCTACCTGTTAAAACAGGCAGACAGCAATCCCTGCACTGCTGCACTCGGAAGTTGATCAAATCGGTTGTTTTGTGCTGACAAAACGAGCGTGAATACAGTTTATTGACAGCCGTGTTGTGTGATTGGCTTCACTGGCATTTCAAATGGGTGTTCACAGACAAGGTCAGAGGTGAAAGGAAGTTGTCTTTCTTATTTCCTACTGCTACACATTAACCCCTGACCTCTCTGAGCAGACATATGTTTATGGAATTATATCTGTGGGCTAGGTACCTTCTACAATAACAAGGTAGACGTGTGACCATTTTTCATTCCCCCAGTGCTTCCCCTCTTCCTCAGCACACAGAGGTGTCCAGCATGTAAGAACACATTTTTTAAACACAAAATCTTCTCACTGAACTTACTTAAATCTACCATCGTCACTGATCTAATCAATAGCTTATAGTCAGAGGGCACCGTGGTGATCAAACATAGTTACTTCCTGGTTAAAAGCTCACAGAAACCACAGAAACCATCATAATGTTATGGCTCTGCTGATGCTACAGTAATAACCACATAAACAGTGCTAGTGTGAGCTTGGTTTTGTATTGAACTGAATGTAAAAAAAACATGAACCAGCAACATACTGAACCTACTGCTGAAGAGTCACAACCACTGACGGTCACGGCGTTATGAGCGGCGATGCGTTCACTTACGACAAGCTAGCTAACGTCAGCAACTATGAATCCGCGATTTCTACCTGTGAAATTACAGTCAATTCAACATGCAATCCGACTGGAAAGAAATCAGCCAATCAGAAGCGACATACTCCCATCTCCGTATTGGTTAAAACTACTGTGCCACACTATACAACACAGTCAGGTTGTGTGAGTGCTCAGAGGAGGGATGTTGTATGAATAACAGCAAACAGACAAATAAATGAATTTAGAAAAGAATATATTTTGGTTTGCTCAAATTAAATAATTTTTTCAAAAGATAATATCTCTACAAAATATAATTTATACAAGTCAGCTCACTCAAAAACAGCCTCAGTGCAGATGAAAGGCCGGAGAGGAAGCAGTGCATTAGCGTGGATGTGCTACGTGGCACTTCACCAAACAAGCCCATCTGGGTGAACAGCATGCTACGACAGGAGCCTCCTCTACCTGAGTGTGCGTAGGCGGTATATTCCTGCGTCCGTAAACCCCGAGCAACGCGTTGTGCGAGAGGGACAGGTTGAACTTGATGTAGGTCGGATGGTGCACGGTCATATGGAACCTCCAGAAGAGTCCCGGCGGGATCGCCTGGCTCTGCTGGGTTCCGACGTCGACCTCGCCGCGGTCGATGGCCCGGCCTCGCACCCATTTCTCTGCACAGGGAAAAAAACAAAACACACACACAGGAGATATTGTTGAGTCACATTCTGCAGATCTGTCATGTAAGACGGGGAGCTCTATCCGGTATCAGAGGGAGCAATTAATAACCGACCTGAGATGTCTTGAAACATCAGTGTCTGCTAATAAAGGGAGACTGAATAGGCAGGAATGAGCGAGTGCCCGGTGGAGAAAAAACATCCTGCTTTTTAAGAGACCATGCTCTGGCAATCATTGGGATAGGCTCTGCATAAAGATGAACTGCTTTAGAAAGGAAGTGTTTTGTCTGAGAGCTGTCTACTGGGGCTTTGTCGTGTGCTATATTAGCATCTTCTAACAAGAAAGGAAGAGTGTGTGTGTGTGTGTGTGTGTGTGTGTGTGTGTGTGTGTGTGTGTGTGTGTGTGTGTGTGTGAAAAGGAGGAAGACAGAGAGGTGGATGAGGAGAAAGTGAGGAGGGAAGGGGCACGCAGGCATTCACAAACAGCGTCACGGCACAGAGATAGCGTCTTGAGTGAGAGTGTGTCTTTGTGTGTGAAGAGAATAGGTCTTTCCAGCAGTCCCTATGGCCATCAGCTCCTCTCCTCACCACAAGCCTTTATCAAGCTACCGGGCCGGAGTCCTTTGTGTCGGGGGGGGGGGGCGGGGGGGGGGAGTGGGGCGAGGCTCTCCAGCCCTCTTTGTGTCGGGCCCCTTTATGGAGAGATATATCTGTGCTTCTAAACTAAGATGGAGGAAATATGGTGACAGAGGGGAGCCGGGCGATCGTTATGGCCACAAAGGCAGAAGAACAGTTAGGGGCAGATTCATGGACGGGGCCGCATGCTCTCGATCCATAATGCCTGCAGCTTTACCACTCCCACCCACAGGCTTGCCGGCATATATATATATATATATATACTGTATAACATATGTGTTTACACATATATATATATACTGTATATCACATGTGCTGTCACACAGGACAGGGAGGTTGGAGAGTGTAGCTCCGGTTTCTACCGACGCCGTTCCTTTTTTTTTTTAGGTATGCAATGTTGGTGCAATGACATTCATGGTGCCAAGAGGACGATGGCTTTGGAGATCTGACTGACTTTATATCATGAGGTTGTCCCTTGTGGTTTTGAGTGAAATGTCTCGACAACTATTGGATGGGTCGTCGTGAAATTTGTTACGGATATATATCCCCCTCTCAGGATGTATTGTAATAACTTTGGGCATCCCCTTTTTATCAAAGTCAGTCATCAGCTCAGAATTTTAACTTGTTAAATACTTTGGTTTCTGACCAAATACCTGCACGAATGAGGACTTTGTATTTGTTGCTAATTAGCAAAGATTAGTACGCTAACACACTAAGCTAACACAGTAAACATTTCAACTGCTAAAAAGCAGCATGTTAGCATGTTCACTGCAGTTTGGAGCTAATTGCGTATTTACATTCTCCCACAGCTGCTCACATGGCTGTAGACCGTTTAGACCAAAAATACCTAACCCAAGACATAGTCTCACAAAGGGTCAAACATCATGCTCATAAGAGGCAAAGCATTTGATTCTTCTTTTAATCCTCTATCAGCCTTTATCTTCTGCTCATTTGGATAGAAACAAAGTCAATTGATTAGCTGGTTAATTGATTGAACTAGACTGAGCTGCGGAACAAAAAAGAAAGAAAACAAAGTGAGGGAAACATGAGAGGGGAGTGAGAACAAGAAGAGAGTTCAAAATGCTTTACAATGAAAGAGAGACAAGAGGCAGGTGTCCTGTGTGAAGCATAAATTCTCCCTCGTGCTAAAACATCTAGCGGACAGAATAAAAGCAGCTTGGCAGGACTACGGTATGCATTCATGCATTTCTGCCGAGTCTCTACCTCTGCAGTCTATTCCTTTTACAGCTAATCCTCGCTCCTGTGCCTCGCCGCAAAAAAAAGAAAAAAAAATGCCTGCAACAGGGATGGATGTCCCGAGGAGAGCAGCCTTTTATTCAACAATAGATGAATGGGACATGAATAGGGCATGACAGTTGGCAGAACACTGGCAGGCTCGCGGGCGGGTTGACGAGCAGGCACACTGGCAGGCTGGCGGGCAGACGAGCAGGCAGGTCCTTCTGATGCTAATGACTGTGTAGCGCCTCTCAGGCTCTGATGCAACCCGGCGACAGAAAGCGGCGCTCGGGTCAGCCGCGAGGACGGGTGGCTGGGTGTCGGAGACGGGGAGACGGAGTGTAGAAGGGAAGAGATGAGAAGAGAGGACCATGTCCAAAAGAGGAGGTGGTGGCGTCAAGTTACAGCTGCTGATGCAAGAAGGAAGAAAAAACCCTCCTTGCATCTCTGTCTCTCTCTCTCCCCTTCTGTCTCAGCAGTGGAGCACAACACTGCAGCTCCAGTAAAAAAAAAAAAAAGGGGGGCGGTTCGAGGCGTTTTTGGGAGTCCCCCACAAACCAGACGGATCGGATCGCATGGTGATTTGGGCTCCTCCAGGGCCTCCCCTGCTGCTCAGATTACTGCCGTCAATCAATGTGCTCCACCGCGCATCTCAGCACAGAACCTGCGACCATTCTTTGAAGGTCTCTTTCAAAAAAAAAAGAAAGAAAAGATCTCCGTTTAATTCTCCTCGGCAGGCAAAAGGAACACAAGCTGAAGAACAAGCCTGACGTGTGAGCGGAGAGGTAATATTTCTTCACACCTTGATATCTTGTGGCTTTAATAATCGGAAAAGGCAACTTGAACATTCACATTTTGCTGTGGGTTGCTCACAAAGAAAGTATAAATAAACGGCGCCGCATTAATCTCTTCTCGTGCGTTTCATCATTAGTTGGCAGCACGTTGTTAGCAAAGAGATGTGTTAAGGTTTATTTCAAAATAAGGTTTGTTTAAAGCGCCGATGAAAGTGTTATTCATGTCTGCCATCGAGCACGGCGTGTCCTTGATGGAAATGATAGAGGATTAGGGGGCAGGTCTGCTTGGAACCAACATTCTGTACAGTATAATAATGATTCTGCCTCAGCCAATTATTCTTTAGTGCGGTATGGTGTGAACACATCACAGCTAATGGCCTCATTGACACTAGTCCCCCACAATATGCAACACACATCGCAATATGTCCTCCTAAACTCGCACCTGAAAGGTTCCTATGCCACAGGACATCTGGATTAGTCTTAACTTCTCCCGTTTCTAATGACAAACTACCATCAGTACATTGTAGGGATGTAGTCCAAAGAAAACACTCAAGTTCTATCTCCTCTTCAACCCATCTTTTCCCAACCCATTATTGGGAAAACAAAAATAAAGAAAGTCTCTAGAAGTACTCTAGATTAACTGAATCCACAGTGCATTGTGCATTCTACATGGCAGCCTAAATGAATGATAAAAAACATAGAACACTATATGCAGCGTATTTAATTACTTTATTGTTTATTGTTTATTGTACACTTCAATGAGAACAACGCACTCAACGCCAACCAGCGCACACCTGCCCACATTCATGTGCTCTCCAAAAATAGAACAAGCCCCCGAAGCTGTCGCAGCGCCAGCAGTTATATAACAAAAAAAATTGTTATTGAACAAACACATTGACTTATGCCTGATATGTTCACACTCAAATTCAAGAAGTGATGCGCTGGTCAGGGTGTTATTACATCTGCACCTAGTCCACAAGTTATGAGAGCCAATCCGCACCGCCCCAACCCCCAAAAAATATGCATTAATCAACCGACCCCGAACCTGTAGATCGCCAACTCTATGCATTATAGGCGCGTCTCCCACGGGGGAGCAGCTGGAGCGGTCCAGAGCGCTCCCCTACTACCCTGTTTATAGTGGTGGGAAGATCTAGGACAGAAAATTGTTAAAATGATGTTCTTTATTATTGAATGGCAGCAAAACCAGTTACGCTTCCTTACGGACATGACGTCTGTCTCTCTCTGTCTTTCTCAAACACACTCTAACATCCCTCCCTATGGAAGTACACCAGCGATCGTCCGACCAATGGGACACGAGCATATCGACCTACTGACAGCCCTTCTTGTAGAGTGTGTGAATCTAAGGGTACCTGTAGCTCGGTTCATTTGATCCGCACCGAGGGGAAAACATGACACATTGCTGCGTTTCAGTTTTTGGCCCGGTTCCTGCTCGCACCGACATTTTTTTACAAAACGAACCAAGAGGAGCAAACATGAAGTGATACGGACTGAAAGGTAGCTCTTTGATTGGACAGTTTTGGCGGTTGTTATCCTGCATCATCAGGACCCACGTCAGGCTTCATGCTTCTGATGTGAATATTTATTTTCTTTGATTAATAACTGACTCTATGCTTTTGTATGATGAATGACGGGAGGAGCGGGGTTGCACAAAAGTCCCAGTTGCACGCTCCCAAATGACTTGTGCGAAGACAGAGCGCGAACAAGGAACGCTCAGGAATATCGCTGTCGCACATTTTTTAATGACCTTAACGGACTGACAAAAACACGGAGTCTGACACAAGCGCAGCCGTTTCAACAGCTTTCAAATGACTAATCAGGAAAAAACACCTGTGACAAGGTTCTTATATACACGGCCTTCAACACTATCAATTAGGCTATAAGATCGCTTCCTGAGCAGACTTCACGATCCGCAGATCTATTAGGGGCCAAGCTTTTGAAATCATGCTATCACCACATATCTGCTATCATATCTGGTTTACTTGCGTTCACACCGGCCCAAACGAACTGTACCAACGGGGCAACCGTAGTTCATTTGAACCGAACTGAACGAGTTAGGTGTGAAAGAGTTTGTTCGTCCATCTGTTGTCTGTCTCTGGGTGTTCTGTATGTCTAGTTAGTGTGCGTGTGTGTGTGTGTGTGTGTGTGTGTGTGTGTGTGCACGCCAGGCTAGCAAAAGAGATGAGCTACATTAGGACTTGGGACACAAGGTCTAATTAATTTCTCTTGCCTGCGGGTTATTCAGGTAAAACAATTACACCTGTAATCTATTTTCAAAGGAACTAAACTGTCTTTGCAATTAATGTTATTATC